ACATTACAACTTTAGACTTTAGAATGAGATTTAATTTGTTAACATAGATAATTCATTAACTAACTCACAATGAGCAATATATTTTACAGAATTTATTCATCTTTGTTAATGTTAGTTAACACAATTACACATAGTTTGTTCATGTCAATTCACATTACATTACTGTAAAGAGATACAACTTTCATTTAAAAAAATTAATTAGTAAATGTTGAAATGAATATGAACCCGATTAATAAATCACTTGAACTATTATTCATTGTTAATGTTAACTAATATTAACAAATGAAACCTTATTGTTAGGTTACATAAATTGTATATTTTTAAGAATAAAGGTAATTTTTTTCATGATTCTGTTTATTGGGCTGCTGAGTAGATCAAAATGAGTGATCAGCGCAAGTGTCAGTGAATAGGTGTGCAACTGTGCATCACTCTCATCGCTTATTAGCCTGAGAAACATCACAAAAAAATTAACTATTCGAGATGAGGGATGTGAAGATGGATGGAGATAGAGATGAAAAAACAATGCAGTGTTGCTATGGCTATGTTCCTTTTTTTGCAGCTCTTAATAACTCATGACTTGAGCTTTGAAAACCAGCCAGAGTGAGAAGAGAGAAATACAGTACACAATATGGAAACAGCAGGTGAAGCACTGAACAGCTCTTGACTAAAAATTGGTAACCATAGCACAGTGACTTGAGTCAAATGCACTCATCTCACTAGTGTTTCTAAAAACTACCCACTAAAAAACTACACAATAACCAAGACCATCTCTCTAAGATTATGTAATGCCTAAGTGGGCTGCGCATCACACATTCAGTCAAATCTCTCAGTAACTGTGAAATCTGTGTTCTTCTGAAGCACTACAGACAGAACGTTAAACAATTAGATATGCATTTCCTGAAGGAAATCACAATTATTTATGCAAACATCAAGTTGATGAAGAATTGAGTTTCAGGTTCATAGAAAATAAAGATAGAAAGCACACTTTTTAAAAAAAGCCCAAAATGATCAATCTGCAGGTATTGCATGTTCTGATCCAGAAAGCATTTCTTTGTCATGAGAAGAACCCAAACACATCTGGACAATGTGAATATGTTTTTACACATTCATAATAAGCCAAACCATCATACAGGCCAAAATACATCCTTTAATATACAATCATATGGTTTCTACTGTAAAACATATGATTCTCTTCACCAGTTGCAGATCAGAATATGGGCCACAAGACTCAATTACAACATCAAACTATCTACGATAAACGCACCCACACACTCAAACAAGCCCAGATCTGAGTGCCACCTAAAACCAAGGAATCTGACAGACCTATGCAAGCTTGTCTTCATAGTGGATCAACATCTATTACTGATTATTAAGTTGATTAGCAAAACATTTCAAGCAAAACGAAATGCATTCACAAATGTTTCAGAAACTGAATGTAAATATTTGCGGATCCTCAAGTAAACACATATGGTTCAGAGCAATGAAGTGAGCAACGTCGGCTGCCCACTTTTGTCTGAACTAAAGCACAGATCCAAAAGCTGTTCATGCCCAATGAATCCTCACTGGATCAAAACAACTGAAGAAGGAACAACCTGACATACACTAACAAAAATGGGAGCTCCAAAAGTCTGAGAGCATTGTAAAATGCTTCTAGCTTTTTTCCTCATTTAGTACAGTTTTCCATTTAATATTATATTATATAATAAGTATAACAAGTTCACATGGTCTGTCACAAATTTGTTCATTTGATCAGTGACAAAATAGTGCAAAATCTTTACAAAAAAGTCTTATTTAAATGTTTTCACATTTTCTTTATTTGATTTTTTTAAATCTTTGTTTATGTTTTATGTAGATTTTGAATCCTTGATGTTCAGTGTGACATTTTTTTTTCTTCACGTAAATAAACCAGATTTGCATC